AATACAAAAAAAAAAGTAACAATACGGATCGAAGAAAAATCACTAACTTTTAAAATAAAACAAAAAGTCATTGCTAAAGTGACCAAGAAACCATACAAAATGCATATCAAAGCATAAACACCTAACACATAAAAGAGAGAATGTAGAAAATACAAAATAGAAAGCCCATCAATGAACATAAAAGCCATTGCAAAAAGAGAAGAAAAAACACGAGAAAAGGAAAGGAAGAATTGATAATCAAACAATAGAGTGGAGCATGCCAAATATTTGACTATAAAAACTAAAAGGATTTAGAAGGAAAAAGAGCGAGTACAAGTGGAAAATAGAGGAGAATACCATTAAGAGAAAAGCTCTCCCAATTAGAGAAGAGTAGCTCGGACATCATTTAACACATAACAAAATCTATAAAACACAAATCTATAAAAGCGGAATTAACTTGCATGTGCAATAAAAAACAGAGAACAATTTTACACAAAGAAAAGAAGCAAAAAACACAAGAAAAAAATAATGACCTTGACGACTCATAAACAAAAACCAAAGCGAGAGACAAGTGCAACATCCAAATGATAAGAGAAAAAATAGGATGCACGAAATAAAGGCGACCTAGAAGGAAATGATAGATTGGCAAATGAAGGTGTTTCTAAGGAACCTTGTACAAATTAGCTATAATGTTTTTTCATGAGTAGTCATCCCCTAACCTCTTAGCAAGACCAACGATGAAGAAGAAAAGCACAAAAACCACCAACCAATAAAAGCACGGAAAACAAACTCTAGTCAACAACTTATTAAACTAAAAGAAACACAATCAAAAGATAACGCAATAATAGAAGAAGAAAAAAAATCACGAAGCATATACTCGAATTCAAATAAGCCAAACAATAAGCAAGAACTGCATTTCAAGAGTTACAGACTTCTTACTAGCAAAAAAACTAAAGATCGAGGAGAGAAGGACATACGAGCGATCAATGTTAGTAGAATCAAATAGTGATTCTATCAAAAAGTGGAAATAATTAAAAAAAAAAAAGACAAGAAGAAAACCAACAGAGCATTCATTAATGAACATAAAGTAACTTTCCAAAAACATTAAGAGGGAAACCAAAAAATAAATGAAAAAAAAGAGCGTTAAAGCGAGCACCAAACAAATTGTTCATCAAAGAGAAAAAATGACCAAAAAAAAAAAAATAGAAGAAAACCAATAAAGTATTCACTAAAAGGCAAGGAAGTAACTTCACAAAAGCACCAAGTAGCAAAATTGAAAATGGGTGCAAAGCGAGAAAGGCATTAAACAACCAAAATAGAAAGAGAAAGAGAGAACGGATAAAAAGGGGTTTGAGAGTGAACAATCAATCCATAATGTCTTTGGGTCCGTGTGTATAGTGTTTTAAACAAGTAAAACACCACCTTATTTTAGTGTTTTTGTAATTTTTTGGTAATAATAAAATTGATCACTTTAATTTTCATTAATCTATGCATATATTAAATCTTAATTTATTTTTATAAGTTTAAAGGATTTATTTCTTTTTTATAGCTATTAGTTTTTTTATTTTTGATGTTATCCCATAAGATATGTGAGTTTTTTCAATATATATATATATATATCTCGAAAGAAAAGATGTTAATAATTATATAAAAAATTTTATTTAAAAATAATACTTAAAATAATACATACACAATTAATGACACCTAAAACTTAATTTTAATTAATTTAGTTTTTTAAATTTAACTAAAATGCTATTCACGCTTAAGAATACTATAAATATTTTATTTAATAGTAAATAAATTTATGTAATATTTAAATTTTATTTACTATCATGGAGATACATTTTAAAAAGATACTATAAATATTTTATTTTATACTTAAAATTTATTTATTATCATAAAGATAAATTTAAGCCTATAAAGAATATTATGGATAAAAAAATAATGTTTATCTTCACTTTTTATTATTATTATTTTTTTACTTTCAATATTTAGAGAGAATGACCATAAATACCTTCACATTTTTTCTAGTTTTTTTCTTCTAAAATTTATTTATTTAAATTTGATAAAAGAAAAAATGATTAAAAAGAAAAAAAATAGGATAAATGGATGAGATTAAGACTTAGTTCAAAAGTTAAAGAAAGGATGATATTAAAATAGAAACCAAATATAGAGGGATGAACTTAAGATGAAAAAATTTAAAAGGACATGATAAAAAAGAAAAAAGAAAAAAAAAAAGAGATTTCTACAACCATTAACCCTAAAAAAAAAATTATTATTATTATTATTATTATTATTATTTTACTTTTCAAAAAGATTAAGAGGTTATTACCGATTGATATGTCACATCAATATTTTTATTCATACCTTCTAAAATATATATATTTTTCAATTATTAGTCATCAAATTTAATATTACATGATATAAAACCGAAATTAATTAAGGATATTTTAAAAAAATATATACAACTTAAGATTTTGATCAGACAAGTATTTTATATCATATACAAATAAAAAAAATACAATTTTTTTTTTAACAGAGAAAGTATTCAATTTTGGATGGTGTTATTCACTTTCTCGTTTTTGTTATTCTCACTCCTTTATTTATTGTAGAGACTAAACTAACCTTATTTCGTATTTTTTTTTTGTATTTAATTAAAATATTCAAAATGGTCCTTCTATATATTCATACAAAATAATAATAATAATAATAATAATAATAATAATATACATGAAAAAAAGTATTTGTGACTTTATGTTTCAAAAATACAAGTCATTTAAAATATATAGGCACAATCTACTCTATTTCTTGTATATTCTTTTTTCCCCTGAGATCATGAAGAAGGGTCATTTTAAATTTGTAACTTTAAAGATTTTAATTAAATAGTTTTTTACAAAGTTAAATTTGAGTCGATAGATATTGTGTTTGATGAATAAGGCATTTAATTTTTTGGAATCCAAAGATTATATACTATAAATCATAAATTATTACAAATATCTTAGTATTGTTTTATGATGTAATTTTAAAAGTATATATATTAATAATTTAGAAATATGTAATTTAGATAACAATCCTTATTTGACAAGTTAAAATTTTGAAAATATGTTATTTAGAAAATATAAATTGTAAAATACAAAATTTGAACCAGTTGAAGATGAAATAAGATTCTTCAAATATATGTTTTCTTTTTTTCTTACGGAAAAAGAAATTATTTTAAAATTTTAAATCATAGAGTAATTAAGATACATATCCAATAGGATTATATTAGTCATTACAAAAACAAAAAAAAAGGAAAAAGAAAAAGAAGGAAATGAACTCTGTCTAAAATTTTAAATTCTATAAGTCCCCCTATAAAAAAAGAAAAAAGAAAAGAAAAGAAAAGTAACGATTCTGCATGTTTCGTGCAGACTGGGGGAACGAAATGGTTAAAATTACAAGCCCAAACCTGGAGAGAGCTAGGCCACTGGGCTGAAACTCCTTAACCAGACCCAGCTGAGATTCCTCGATCTAAGGCTGGCTCGTCATACAGGTATATGAGACTTTATTTATTTATTTATTGAGAATGCAGACCATATATTTTCCTAAAGATAATTTACAATATACTAGGAAGAAAAGCATACATTGTCTTCACAGAAAACTAGGGATAATTATTTGGCTTTTCGGTTTAGTTTTGCTTTTTTTTATTTTTTTTAACTCAATTGATTAAAATAAAAATCGAAATCGAACCAAATTAAGATTCGGCTTTCCAAGTAAAAACTAGGTTTTTTTTTTTCTTTCGGAAAGAAAAATTAAAATGCCTCCACTTAGTTGCCGAAATCTTTTCCTATCTGGTTGTGAATTGGGAAAAGAATAACGAAAAAAATTCTAGCAAAAAAGATGGTCTAGTTCTTTCTGGCTTGAGCTCGACGGGACCTCTAGCTCCCCAATTCTGATAAACTTTATTGTTAGCTTCTCCACTGTTTCCAGCGGTGCCCGAGCCCGAGCTTGACCAGAGACTGCAACCCTGATTCTCAAAATCATTTCTGTCATAGCCACGGCCTCCATTTAAATTAATCATGCATTGTTATAACTTGTTATATTTAAAATATCTTTTCAGTCTTTTTCATTAACTCCCTACCGGGTCAGCAGTGTCCAGTTACCTAAGCAAGAAGTTTGGCAATAAAACTACCGACTGCTTTTCTTTTTGCAGTACCTAGCTAACTCCATAAACATTGAGGTTAGATTTGGGGAAGTGGTTCAAATCACTTGCATAGTGCTGTGGCCGCCTTTGATATAACTTGCATATAGTTGTCCCAACCAAGAACTCACACGCATCCTCCTTCATTGGTGCCAAATCCCATTTTTCTACTGATAGCATTTGTCTTGTTGGCTTGTGACGGAGCAATGAGCCATGGTGAATGCTTCTTAGACTGTGAATAGATTTTTTTAAAAAAAAACCGAATCAAATAGAAATAATTTCGATTTTTTGTTTTAATTTTTTTTCAAATTTAATATACAAAACCGAACCGAAATTATAAATTCGATTCGATTTGATTTTTTTAGTTTTAATCGAATAATACTCATTCCCATAAAAAGGCACAAATATCATATATATATATATATATATATATATATAAAAGCCCCATTGTCAATTCTTTTTTTATGAAATAACAATTGTTTTACCTTTTACTCAATGTCGTCGTCGTCCTCGTCATTATTATCCATTAATTTAAACTGCAGATCAAAGCCATGCTCCGTATAACAATTTGCCATTCTGAAATTCGACATCATTGCAAACGAAAGAGTCTTGCCTTTTCTACAGGCTTTTAATTTTAATTTTGAATGTCCAATGGATTCACTAAGTGTGTGTTTGCAAATATTTTTAAAATAGAAATTAGGACAAATTGTTATAGTTCCATTGAATCATTGGTGTACAATTGTCCGTGAAAAAATTACAATAGAAAAAAATGACATTACATGTCAAATTGTATTATTCAGGTGAGGCAAAAAGGAAATGATCACGATGATTTGATCAAATTTATTTAGGCCTCAATAGGAAGGAAACCCATTTCTTGGAGTACTTCTGCACATTCTGGTCGAGCCACCTTCGTCATGAACCCAAGAGCATTGACATATCGAAGTTTGTCCAGCACTCCAACGTTCTTAGTGAGGAGGATCCTAGCAGAATCAATGCTCTTGAATGGTTCGCTGCAGTCGGCTCTGGGGCTCTTCATCAACCTAACCTCACATATATCTTCCTCATAGTCACCCACCACGGTTAGGCGGTATGTGCCACTGCTGTCAGTTGTACCCTCCACGCTATATGTCTCAGTGCCATTCTCACGGCTGGTACATACCAATTTCACCTTAGCATCTGCATGGACATAATTAAGAAGAAGAGTTAACAATTTTGAACCATTTCAAGAATTTAAAAAAGAAGGAAGAAAGCTAATTCGAGCTAGAGAATAAATTTATCGCAATATAGTTTTTAACTACTTTTAACCACATCATTTACCCGGTATTCCCTCGCTGATTTTGGTCTGGAACTCAACGCGGCAAGGGTCACAGTAGACCCTTCCTTCAACATGCAAGTTTTCTGTTGCATAGGCAGAGATGAGAATGGAGGCGAAGCAAAGAACGAAGGCAGCAATGGTGAAACACTTGGCCATTTTTTATTTTTTATTACTCTTGGTGTACGAGGAATAATGCATGAATGAGCATTCCTTTTATAGGGGGAAAAAGAGGTGAAGCAAAGAAAGTGTTTTCGTTTGGTGGTTATTGAAGTTGCTATTCTATGGTTTACGAGGGAAAATAGATCCCTACTGTACGGCTGTTTCACAAATTCTGAAGTTTTTTACCTGCTTTTTCTCCACTAGAATAGGTTACTAAATTGGCCTGTTATTACCTTTATTATTATTATTATTAACGTAAATAACCACACAATTCTCTCTCTCTCCCTCTCTCTCTCTCTATATATATAGATAGATATACACTTCATAATTAGAAACTATACAAGAAAAACAAGTTTTGAAACTATGTTCAAGGCCAATCTCTTCAAAATCCAAGTATCAAATTGACCGCATTTTCTTCCATTGTTCATTAAAATTAAGGAGTAGCTTACTATTATTGTTGTTGTTTATTATTAACGCAGTAATATATTTATTAATGAAAAGAAATACAAAAGGTTAAAGAAAGCAAGAAGACATTAAGATTAGCAAAGAAAAAATAACAAATGAAGGAATAATATGTTAATACAGAAATCAGATATTTGATCGAATTTATCCTTCTGTTATATTTTTGTTTCTCCATAAATATCAACTTCAGATTTATTATAAAAATAAAACAATTAAAAGCTATTTTCCATTCCCTTTCTTTTATTTTTGTTTTTCAATTCAAGTATAACGAGTGCAAACAGCAAGGCTCATTCATTTTTCTTTCTTCAGATTGAAGTCCACGAAAAAGAGGGAATTTCCATTTCCTTGAATAAGATTTTGAGACTTTTTTTCTGAATGAACAGAAGCATCAATTTTATTTTAACAGGGCCCAAGAACAGCTTTAAAGAAAAGTCCAATACACATAAGCCTATCAATACAAGCCAGTAGGAAAATCCTTTCAAGATCAGTCCATAAAACCTTATTTGTTGTCCCTCTACTATTGACATTTTCTTAATATGGTTCTTCTATTTTTTTTTTTTTCTTATCCATCACCTCTCTATACTCTTCAATTTTTCTTAATGTGGCCCCTCTCATTGAATCCGATTATTCTTCCAGATTGACAATGACGAGATAACAAAAAATTACCATATGGCTTGACAAATAAGATAAAAATTATCACGTGACCCAAAATTTTTACATTAAAAAAAAAAAAAACCTTTGACTATCCTTACGCAATCGATCCATTGATTGAATGTTGCTCTAAACGAAAAAAACCAATCCTCACACAATTGCCTTCGATTTTTTGTTCACCATCGATTCATCGATTGCTTCGAATCAAACACAAAAATCTTTAATTATTCAATAGTCCGAATCCCCAATTTGCCCTAATTTATGAAAATCCCCAATTCGAAATCCTTATTCTTTTTTATTTTTCTTTCATCGTTCTCATTAATTTTTCTCTTCATATTCTTCGAATACGATTGTTTATGGGTTAAAATACTAAATTTTTCTATAACAAAAAACCCACAATTTAGGAGAACCCAAAAATCCTCAAATTTCTTTATTTATTTTCTAAAAGCCGTAAAACTCCCAAATTGATTTTTTTTTTCATTTTGTTAAAATCCTAAATTACATCCGTTAGAAATTAAAGATGATGCAATCTTCTACCCTAACAAACTCATAATCCTCTACTCTCACCAACAAAATTGAGGATGATAAATTTTGATACATTTGTGTAGCTTCACCAAAGACTCCTAAATTGAACTATGAAGAGCCTATAATGATACGTCATTGTGGGTTAAAGACTAAAAGGTGGATGTCATAGAGTGAAAAGCATTTAGGTTCAAGGTTCTATCCATATCCTATAGGTTTTGTCCATAATTGTAATAAAAATTTTGGTTGTGGTTATTAGATATGAAAGGATGATTTCATATAAAACGAGCTAGAATGATTGTTTTGAGAATGAGAAATAGAAAAAGATAGATTTATGGAGAGAAAAATTTGTTGCTAAAAGAAAATTATGAATTGATTATGAAGGTTGAAGATTGAGTTAGATTCTCTTTTCATGAAAAATGAAGTGTTACTAGTTGAGATAATAACATAAGAGGTAGAGAAAGAACACATGAACTTGAGAATAAAAAAATTAAGTGAATACAATGTTAAGTTGAATTTCTATAAAATAACGATCGTTTTAATTTTAATTACGTTAGTTGTTTGTAAATTGTATTGAAGTACGTTGTTTGTGAAGTGTATTGAAGTAGGTTATTTGTAAATTACACTAAAGTGGTTTTAATTTTAATTCTATTGGTTTTAAATATAGTATTTGGATATTTATTTATTTCATGATGGCATTGTATGTCCTCTAATGCATTTTATTTTGTTAGAATCATTGTGAGCCATTCTTATGAAGAAAGGCCATCAAGATGATGATAATGGTGTGTTATGGCAAGTGTAGAAAAAGAAAGAACTGGAAATACTTGACAATCGGATGCAAAGGTATTTTCATTTATCGAAGAATATGTTTTGAAGTCTTCCTTTGTCAAGAAAGACCATCGAGATGACTCAAATTGAATTGTATATCTTAATAATATTTTGGTCATAATATTTTTTTATTTGTTACCTTTTAGATGTTTTATGTGTTAATAGATGCGTAATTGCATTGGATTTTTAATGAATATATTATATTATGAGTGTGTAACATTTAAGATACATTAACACTAAAATTACTCCAAAATTGGCTATTGACACATGCATGTGTGCCTAGAAATAGAAAGGAGTGAAGAGATTTTTTCATGTTAATTTATGGTAGCTTGATATTGTCTTATGATAATGTGAGATTCCGTAATTCTAATATAGCAAAGGATCTAGGTTGAAGTTGCATGCAAATTATACTGAACTCTATATATAAATACAATATGATGTCACTATAAAGAGCTATGTTGTTATAAAGTATCTTTATATTTTATTCTTTGTTTATTTTTCTTAACTTGATATTAGAGTAATTGTGCAATTTTCTTATAAAACCGATAATCCCATACACCAAACCCTACCGTATCGATAGCATTAGATGGATAGATTTTTATGGTAGTAGTCTAGAATCTCATGAGAATAGCCATCCAAGCAATAATAAGTCACAACATAATCTTCTTTAATAGTCACTACCAATGTTTTGGCAAGATTCTCTATAATAGCTACTATTTTGACAACTCGCTCTTTTAAAAATTTCGAAGCAGACAATCTCTTTCTTTGTTTTCTCATCCATTCCTCTTACTAATAAATGTTATTATATCTTATTGAAATTAACTACAACAAATTGCTTGTATTGGAAACTTTAGATGAATTTTTTTACAAGGTTAAGGGTAATTCAACTTCACCGATGGATTTAGGTCATGTCAACCATCTTATCAAGTAAGTTATGACACCCCTATTCTACAACTAAATCTGGTTTTCTCTATCCGGCTCAACAAGATCAATTGTTATTGAGTATCTTTATTTAATTATTCATTGCACCTCTTCTCATAGTATTTGGTTTACTTTAGAGCATGCTTTAACGTCTTTCTCCAATTCTCAAATTGTGTAACTACACATGTTACTATAAGTAACTCAAATAGAATGATGATTCTATATTTGTCTATTTTAGAAAAAGCAAAACAACTTAATGATAAATTAGTTATAGCAGCTAAACCCTTTTCGAGTTTTAGATTTCAATCTCTATGTTTTTATGAGATTGCATGGAGAATTCAAAGGCCTTATGACTACTCTATCGATTGAAGCTAAAAATATTACCTTCATGAAATTTTATAGTCTCTTATAGAGTCATAAGTTTTTCAATTGAGATTTTTTTTCTTTCGTTGACTTCATCCTCTAGTCTTAGTGTTCTTGCTTATATCTCAACCCATCTAACTACTACTCTTTTATGGTAGCAGCAGACCTTAAGAGCAATTTTACAACCAATAGTACTAGCCCTCTTTCTTTTTAGCAATATGGGTCATAACCGTGGTCGTCGGAGAAATATAGGTGGTTCTTCCGCACAACAATCAACCAATTCAGCTTAAGTCAAGCCTTAAAATCAATCTCAATGGATTAATCCTCGACCTAACCACAATATATGATGCCAACTATATAATGGATAAAATCACACTCCTCAATCATATGCTTGAAATTGTCAAAAACTTTTCTTATTGATAACTAATATGTTCTTGAATACCACTTTGGTTCCTTATACTCAATGGTTTTTGGAAACTACTACCACTCTTCATGCCACTCCTATCCTCATAAGTGTAGCTCAATCTAATTCTTATGGTGGTACCGATCAATTACGAGTAAGAGATGGTAAGGGACTTGGTATCTCTAGTATTGCTTTTAAAATTTTAGACACACCAAAATGCTTACTTAGAATGTCTCATATTCTTCATATATTATATATTAAAAAGCCATTACTCTATGTTTAATAATTTGCATGTGAAAATAATAGTTTCTTTGAATTTTACCCTTTTATTATTTTTTTTTATCAAGAATTGCATTTCTAAGAAAATCCTTCCTTCGAAGGGATTTAGAATGATTTTTACGTTCTCTATTACTCCTTCATCATGTTTGTTCCTCAAGCATTTTTAACAACTCTACTCCTACTAAGAGATGACATCATCAACCCGGGCATTCTACTCCACACATTTTAAGTCAACTTGGTTTTCAAAAAAGGATTTCATTATCAATGTCTAGTTTTAAATTTAGGGGTTTAGTTTATCCACTCGATAATTTCTCTATGCCATCTTTAGGATTTATAAGTCATAGGTCTAGTGCTCTTTTAGAGCTAGACCTTATTAATGTTTAGGTTGTATATCTAATGATTTTATTCAATAAATTTCATTAATTTTCAATTTTTTATGATGAATTCACTAAATTTATTTGGTTTTATTCTATTTTGAACAATTCGGATGTTTTTAAGATATGTATTCAATTTTGAAAATTAGTCAAACACTAGTTCTCAACTAAAATTAAAATGGTTCAAACTGATT